TACTTGGTACTGGGAAAAATATTGATTAATTCAATATTTTTCCCAACTTCGTTAGTGGGATTTTTCCCTGGGACAAATCTCGTGAAACGGCTCGTAGAGACAAGGCCTAATGAAAAAAGAGTTTCTCCTAAAAGTGAAGAAGAACTAAGTCAGTAGGCGTGCGTGATTTTTGAAGGAACATCCTCATTCACGTTTTAAATTTCTGCAATCGCGGCTCATTAGAATTCATCCAATTTTGAAATTTCCAATCTGAAAGTTGGGAGGAAGTGGCAACCTGGTACCACTCAAATTGCACGCTGACGCTTAGCAAAACTCTTGAAGTCGTGGCCCCGGTGGGGTAGTCGTTAATTCAATTCTTTTAAGTCGGTATCACCGTTGTTTCTTCATTTAAACCCGTTCTTAATATTGATTACAGGTAAGGCGTCACCAAGTAGGGAAACGATCCAGCAATGCGGACCATTAGACAAGGTGCGAGTTTAAGCATTCTGATACATTTTGCCCTGTCAAAATTTCACGTTGAATATGATTCGTGCAACAAAATTACTGAAATTATCTCACAGCTTAGATATTTCACGTTTTTCGATGCGTTAGTTCAAACTTTCCGCCCGTGAAAAAACAAAAGTCTCCGTGATTCAAATCACACACTAAACTGTATCGCATCAGTCATTGCGGTTTTGATAATATATCAGCCTGAATCTCGTTGCATCGGCTCAGCTGTCACACGTTGTTATAATCACGAAAAAAAGTGTTACGGGTCATCCCTTAAATTTGTGGTACTACCAGTGGCGTGACGTGAATGATCAATTATCGATATTTTTCCATTTGAAGCTATGGTAAAGAATCGATTATTAAAGTGTTCGTTGCGAACATCCTGTCTATCGGTCCTTTTCTATGGGTTTAAATGGCAGATCATTCGATATATCTCAAATCACGCCACGCCACTGGGTACTACCCCAAGTAGTTGGATGTTATGGACTCTTCTAATTTGTTGTCGTGGTACGGCGATTCAAGTTGGGCTATAGTATAAGCACCGCAACATTTCGGTTGGTAACCTAATTAATCGGGGTATTACCACAATCAATTGGAAAAGTAACCCCTACCTCTTTTTTTCGTGAAGCCATTCAAAACCGTTGTATTGTGCGATATGATTCATATCAAGTATGCTGTTGTTTTTCTGAAGGCCGGGAATCCAAAATTCCCGTAATGGATGTAAACTAAGAACGTCAATATTTTAGTTAGAAGTTGATTTCAGTAATTTTCGTCGCGCCATTGTGTTTCACGTCAAAAAACATTACATGAGAGTGCTCAGATGCGCAGCTTCTCCAATGGTCAATTATGCTCTTCGCGCGTGACCCTGAGATGAATCAAATGCCGAAATGATTCCCGCGCCAAAAAGTCGACGCATTTTTAGACTGCGATATAAAATCCACCGTCATGATTTTTGCATTTACTGACAATGCTGAATTGGCCAGAGCCATCTTCTGTCGCAGTCTGAAAGTGCCTCAACTCATTTGCTGTGGACTCTAGTGGATTTTTTCAAGATTTTTTCAGCTTTTGTCCACTCCTCTCTTCCAGACACCTGGATCAAGTTTTGTGGGGGACGGAAAACACCTGAGGGAGAATCCTCCAGAATATGCCTTACAAGAAGGGGTGGTTTTTTTTTGCTTTTTGTGGGGCTAGAGCCTACCTCTATTTCTGTGCTTATCTGCCGTGCCGAGGAAAAACGCCGTATGAACACTTGAAAGTTGCCGAGTTTACTCTGGTAAAAAAGAGGGGCATCGATAAGGGCCTTTTTTGGCCCCTTCGTAGAATCTGGAAATTTATGCGGGTTTTCCAAGTTGCCTCAATGTAGTTTACGAAAATAATCATGATTTAGCCCATAGGCCACTGGATACGTGTTCAACGGTTGCCTAAACATAGGTCTGCAGGCGTATTTTAGCGAAAAGGCGTCTTTTTCTATCACTCCGAGGCTTTTTTGACACCGAGCGTATCGTCTAACTAAAATGAGCTTTTTCTATGTTATCAAGGAGGCTTTAGGACTCATTTTAACCCTGGTTTGGTTTTAGTTAGATGATGCGCTCATAGTTAAAAAAAAAAAAAAAAAAAAAAAAAAAAAAAAAACTTTTTACAAAAATCGACGTTTAAGGGACATCCGCAAAAATCTTAGGGAATTACGTCGTTAAGGTTTTTTTTTTTTTGGCTACAATTGAAGAAAATCTCCTTGTAAGGGCTTAACAAGGCTTGATAACCGCCCTCGATAATATACGTAGCGTGCATACAGTTGGAGAGACGTGTTCCCTAAGATTTTTGCGGATGTCCCTTGAAGGTCGACTTTTGAAAAAAAAAAAAAAAAAAAAATTATTATGAGCGCATCCTGTAACTAAAACCAAACCAGGGTCACAATGAGTCCTAAAACCTCCCTGATAACATATCAAAAGCTCGTTTTAGTTAGACTATGCGCTTGGTGTCAAAAAAGCCTCGGAGTGATAGAAAAAGACGCTTTTTCGCTAAAATACCCCTGCAGACCTATGTTTAGGCAACCGTTCAACACGTATCCAGTGACCTATGGGCTAAATCATGATTATTTCCGTAAACTACATTGAGGCAACTTGGAAAACCCGCATAAAGTTCCAGATTTAAGTTGATGTTATGCGTTTAGTGAAAACATGCCTCCATTACTCCAAAATCCGTTATCTTCACAGCTGATTGTATAGAAAATTCAATTTTTTTTTGGACACAATTGAAGAAAATCTCCTTGTAAGAGTCTAACAAGGCTTGATAACTGCCCTCGATATACGTAGCGTGCATACAGTTCGAGAGACGTGTTTCCCTAAGATTTTTGTAGAGTCCCTCTATACCCAGAGTTAAGACAACTCGATTATCAGCTGACTGGCAGCCGGCCTTGGCTGGCCATGGAGGCCGAAACGAGTGCACCCAAACGAACGATATTGAGGGATAAGGATCAGGAATCCTGCGATGTCTGTCACACAAAAACAACAACATCAACAAATTGATCAATTAAAAAGAAAATGAGATTGGTTTGTGAATAATTTCTTAATCTATTTTCATTTTGGACCGAAGGAAATAACAATTTACTCTTGATAAACCACAATTAGGTAATATTTTCATTATTCTTGTTCACATTTGAGGTACCGCCATCTTGGTGCACTCGTTTCGGCCTCCAGGAGCGAGAACCAATCAGAATTGGATTTTTTTTTAGGCCACTTTCAACCGAGCCAAAAGTGAGTTGTCTTAACTCTGGGTATAAAGGGACTCTAGATTTTTGCAGATGTTCCCTAAACGTCGATTTTTGTAAAACGTTTCTTTTAACTATGAGCGCATCATCTAATTAAAACCAAACCAGGGTTAAAATGTGTCCTAAAGCCTCCTTGATAACATATCAAAAGCTCCTTTTAGTTAGACGATGCTCTCGGTGTCCGAAAAGCCTCGGAGTGATAGAAAAACACGCATTTTTGCTAAAGTACGCCTGCTGGCCTATGTTTAGGCAACCGTTTAACACGTATCAAGTGGCCCATGGGCTAAATCATGATTAGTTCCGTAAACTATATTGAGTCAACTTGGAAAACCCGCATAAATTTCCCGATTCTACGGGGGGGGGGGAGGCCCTTATCGATACCCCTCCGTATACATGGAAGCAAGTTATGCATATTTTACACTAAATTGCGAACAAAATTTTTCGAAAAATTGGAAGGTAAATATTTTCAATTTTTCCCATAAATTTGTATTTTATCCTAGGAAATCTGGCAGCGTCTGAAAGTTTATAAGGCGTTTTTCATTAGTACTGCATTAATGCTCTCTTGCGACCGCTTTCAACCCCCACGATTCTGCCGAAACGGCGCTGTTGAAAATGGCGAGTTTGAAGTTGCACTTGTCTGACAGTAAAGCGTTGCTGCTTGCTACGGCGAGAAGCACCTGTGTGCACATGAGGAGTTGAGGCGATGAGCAATTAATGTTAGCGACTCATCCAGTCGTAATTTTATGTTCTGTGCTCCTGGATCATTGCCTCGGGAGCATATCACCCACGCCGCCAAACATCGTCCGAGCAAGTGTTACCAATCGCTCCGTGATTACGCACACTTTTCGCAACGAAACGTGGTCGGATTAACTGTAATGGTACACTCCAGCACTCAATGGGGGCTCCTCTTGGCCTGACCTCCACTTAATATTCCAATGCAAACTGCCTGAGCTAAACACTCGCTCCTCAGTTTTGTACTGGTACTCATTAGAGTTAAAACAATTTTGACTCTAATCGTAATGTTTGGAATTTCTCGGCTTTGATTTCCCCGCGAAATGGTGTGGACCCAGCACCACCTTGTTACATACACTTTCGGGCCATCTTTTTAGTGTTTTTTCTCGCCCCTCCCCCCCCCCCCCCCCCATTTCAGTCGTTTTCTTTGTCTATCAATTTCAATAATCAGCCCGCGGGTCCCTAAGTAAAGGCGACCAACAAAAGTAGGTACTTCTTCATCTTATATATCGTGTGAAACCGTGGTAATACACACTACATTCTCTAATTAGGAAAGTCTACTATTCCTGGATCATCTGTAAAGGCACCGACCTGTTTAAGGAAACTAGCGACACATACGTTGTTTCTTAAATGAGCTGAAAGTGGAAGTTCCATTCCAAAAACTAACAGAATGCTGTTCCTGCCGAAAATGCCTGCCTGAAATACTTTTTGAAGCGGGAGTTGGAAATTTCTTTTGCAGATTGTGAAATCAGGAGAAAACGTCAGACTTTCTCGTCGTTCTCTTTCTGATTTTTTAGTTTTTTCCCATTCAACTCTTTTTCTGAATCTAGAAACATTTTGCTAGCGAATCACTGACTAAAGTACCTATATTGAAATTACGTTCCCCTTATTAAGCTTCGTCTTCGTCTACAAGGACAATTTTCCAAGAACTATTCCCTACGAGTAGGCTCTCAACGTGGCTTCCCTTACAGGAAATAGTCTGATGGTTTTCTGTTTTTTTTCTTTGTTTCAGCTGTGTTTTCTATTTTACAATCCTACCGACAGTGGAGCTGTGCAATTAACTCAAGATAACATAGATAATATTCTAGGTAAGAATCTTCTCTATCTTAATTTAATATTCGTAATTCAAGCCGTACTTTCCCATCCAGTGTTAATTAAGAGCCATGTATGTAGCATGACCTGATTAACTTACCCCAGAAAGTTAGCCTTCTAATCAAGTGAACCAAAAGGAAACGAGAATGATCCATCATCGTTATTTCCTCCGCTTAAGGCTATGATAAAGAATCGAGTAACGTGTTCTTTGCAAACACTCTATTTATGGATACTTTTCCATTGCTTCAAATGACAGATCAATTAATATATCGAAAAGGACGCCACGCCGCACTGGAGTGATCCCGTAGATTTACGAATAGAGATATGTCGATAAAACCCGATGTTCGGTCTGTACATCCATGTTCTGCTTTTAAAATGGAATGATGTGGTATCATTCCAATTCATTACTTCTAGCGGGAAACAGATTAATTTGCCGCCGTTGGAAAGAGTAGGAGCTGACGCAAAAGCAGGTTATGCAGAAGTAGTGATAAACTATCGACTCAGACTACAGATTCGTTTGAATAGATTTGCCTTCCTCTGAGAACTAAGGCAAAAAGAAACCCGGCAGTAGCAATAGTTGTATCTTGAGGAATGATTTGTTTATGGACTAATGAATAAGGATGTATTGCGTTAGCAACAATCCGCCTAGAGCGATATTTTCAGATATTTTCAGGTAAGTTGACTTGTTTCATTTCCTTGTACAGGAGACTTTAACTTCTTTCTGAGCAAACAAATGAGAGGAGTGTCTCATGTGGAGTCCGCAGTTTATCCTGATTACCTGATTTTACCTAAGCTCGTACCCTTTTAAATGGAGGCAAATTAATCTGTTTGCCGCAAGGAGTGATGAAGTGGAATGTTTTTAAAATAGCATTGTCTAAAATCATCAGGGAAGGTAAACTACACGAGTGTTGTGTCCAATTATTTAAGGACAAGCAGGAACTAGTCTGAATTAAAGCGATTGAATGTTTCCAGAATCTTCTTGAATCTCGAATCTTCTCGCAAATTTTTGAAACGGACTCAAGGTTGAAGATGAGAAAAACAAACATGGCATTGACACTTTATCCTTCATTCAAACTTGTGATATCAGTGATTTTCATCGGTTCTTCCTCTTTAATAAAATTCTGACACATTATTTGTGCAATAATGATGCATGAACTGCATTTTGCAAGAAGGACAATCGTATAAGGAAATACGGGAAAGACTGTGGAATTTCTATCATCTTGTAACTGTAGAAAAGCTTAAAAGTCCAAACAGTTTCAAGTACCTAGTACCAGGAAAAAAAGTCAATTAGTTGGTTGCCATTTTTTGTGTCAGAGCGCGACATGCGATATATCGCATCAATTCGCTCCATAATTTCAGCTACTTGTCGTTTTTTTCAAATTCTGAGATCGTACTTCTGTTGTCATGAGATCAAAGAATTCATGTACCAAATTTGACGAAGAAATTCAACGAAATAAAGGCAGGGTTTTTTTAGAGGAAAAATATCGCATTCGATGATATCGCAACTGCACTCGAATGCTATTTTTTTTCCTCAGAAAAAACCCTGCCTTTAATACGTTGAATTTCTTTGTCAAATTTGGTACATGAATTCTTTGATCTCATGACAACAGAAGTGCGATCTCAGAATTTGAAAAAAACGACAAGTAGCTGAAATTATGGAGCGAATTGATGCGATATATCGCACGTCGCTCTGACACATAAAATGGCAACCGTCGAATCACCTTAAATGAGATAACTGGATTGCATTTTGCAATGAGGAACCACTATCTCTGGCTCTTTCATGAAAGCACATATCTGCATAGGAAAACCAATGGCATGTATGTTGTTTCTAAAATGGGCCAGAAATAGTGGTTCCTAATTGCAAAATGTAATCCAACTATCCTGTAGATTTGAGCCTTTGACTTGCTGCTCCCTGTTAATTCATCGCAAACGTAGAAGTTGCTCAATCTTATTGTTAGCAGCTTTGTAATGTCCATAAGTTGGCTCCTTTTCGGGAAATGAAATGGACATAATGTGCGTAGCGATTTACACTTAAAAGGCTTATTTTCATGGATCACTCACTCATGAGCTCCGAAAAGCAATTCAAGTACTCACGTTCAAGGGCATGCGGCCAAGGTATGGATGCCGATGCGGGGCCGGGCATGTCGCTATATTTTCAACTCCCTTAAAAACCAATCGCATTGTGTTCCATCAAAATCTCGTCGACAGTTGTAAAGTACTGTGTAATAACACTGTTAAGTATTTTATTCGAGTGGAAACAGTCGTAAAATTAATCGAAATGCCAAGCATGAAACTAGTAAGTTGCCAAATTTTGTGAGGTTATTTTTGTTAGCTTGCAACTTTGAATCAGTGCTTTTAAAAGGGGAAATAGTCTCTTTTTTCAAATTCGTTTTTTTAAATACATATATTGACGCTCTTTTTACGTGATATTCGCGTTCCAAGAAGCGGGGTATTGCTGTTTTCCCGTGTAATATGGTAAGGACAACCGGAGGGTTCAAAAATGCCAAAAGAAAGATTTTGAAAATTGGACTTGCGCCCTTTTTGAAAATTGTGATTTGCCTGATGCGAGGACACGATTTCGGAACCGAATTTGTCCAATTCCATTAGTTAGCTCTCGGTGCAAACCGGAGAAAATGTTTCATCGTAATCTCAAAATCGGATCTTTCGACACAACCCATAACAAAAAAAGCGCTTTTTTGAGAATTCTGTTCCTTTTTCGAAGGCGGTCTCGTGAATTGAACGATATATTGCAATGGGTCGGTTGCGTTGGTCACAGAATTGTGTTTTGATGCTTGCTTTTTGTAGATTACCTAAAAATAATAAGATCTGTTCAAACGGCAACTTTCTGCGTTCAATGTTAACCGAGATATCGCGCTTTGAACACTTCGATGTATGACGTCATCCACCACGGTAGTGACACGCTTGGTTTTTTTTTTCACCATGCTTTCATTTGTCAGAAAGACGCATATTTCCACCGGTTACTCAACGTGAAACTCGGATGAAAGCAAAGTGAAGGAGTGTCACGACGCGATGGATGACGTCATAAACAGAATTTTTCGAAGCGCGATAGCCCGGTTAATTGAATGTAGAAAGTCGTTGTGTGGACAGATCATATGATTTTTAGCTGATCTGCAAGAATCAAGCATCAAAACACGATGCTGTGACAAACGGAACTGATCTATTAGGAACTGCAATTTCTGACTCATTGTCAGTTTAGAAACAACGTATGTACCATTAGTTTCGCTATGCACATAAGTTGTTTTACGGATGAGTTAAACATTTTAGTTCCTAATTGCAAAATGTGGTCCAATCACACCGTAATTTTAGAAAAGATGCAAGACATTCAAAGAGACGTTATTCAAGGAGATGTCATCCAGGCCGTCCATGGGGACGGTTTCCAGGCCGCCGAAGCAGAAGTAGTCCAGGCTGTTCAGGGGGATGCTTTCCAGGCCGCGCAAGCCGAAGTAGTCCAGGCTGTTCAGGGGGATGGTTTCCAGGCCGCGCAAGCCGAAGTAGTCCAGGCTGTTCAGGGGGATGGTTTCCAGGCCGCTCAAGCCGAAGTAGTCCAGGCTGTTCAGGGGGACGGCTATTTTGCTGTTCAAGGGGAAGGTTTCCAGGCCGCTCAGGGGGAAAATGGCTCGATGGACTTTCATGAATCTAGTTTTTTCGAAAAGAAACAAGTTGGCGGAGCTGTGCACCTAACCAAAGAGAACATAGATAATATTCTAGGTGAGTCGCCTCCTCCGATTTCATCCCTTTCGCTTTACAGTGTGGGATCGAAGCGTTTATGTCGAAAATGGCCCGACCTCCCTCCAAGAGTTTTGTCTTGTCTGAAAGGACTTAGAAATGCTGTATTGAGAACAATTCGAAAAAGAAGGGAGTCTAATTACAGTGTAAGAAGTTTTAATAGATTTTTACCTGAAAACGAAGGCTAGTTCGTAAAAGCTGGGAAGAAATTTTCCAAGCAAGTTTATATTGAATCTCTAAATAGAATTAAGGTGAGGTTGGGTAACTGGGCAGGAGTTCGGAGAAAAATGTCAAAATTTCAACTTCATGATTTTTTTCCCATCATTATATTGACAGTGGAGGCTACTTTTAAATTTTTTTTAGTAAGTACAACACCTTGTCTAAATGTAGGAAGAGTCAAAAGTCGAATTTCATCTTTCAATTTTTTCCCACCAAGTTTCAAAAATTTCCCGTTTTTTTCACCCAGTTACCCAACGTCGTGGGGTAACTGGACTACCCCCCCCTTAATTTTTGAGGGGGGCATTATTTTTAATTCTCATTGGCCAGAAAGTGATGTCCTGCTCATGAAGGTTTAAGAAAATGTCATTTGAATGTATATAAACATGTTTAAGTGGTTAAGAATGATGTCGTAACAGTTAGCGGCAAAAAAACCCTCAAATCTGAGAATTGAATAACGGTAAAAAAAAATTGTTTCCTTGTAGATAAATGCTTAGAACTTTCTGTATTACTACTTATAAAGTAGTATTGTATACCAGGACACTGTTTGGCCACTTTTAGTGAGATTAAGCATGATACATTTTTAAAAAATGAAAAAAAATTAAGCCGCAAGGCTGATCTGGGATAGAGTCAGGCGCCAAAAAGTTCCCTTAATTTTTAAGGGGGGCATTATTTGTAATTCTCATTGGCCAGAAAAGAATGTCCTTCTCATGAGGGTTTCAGAGAATTTCATTTGAATTTATATAACCATGTTTAAGTCGTTAAAAGTGAGGTCATAACAGTTAGCGGCAAAAATGTAATTAAGTAATGCTTAAGTTATGCTATAATTGACTTAAGTTAGAAGTTTAGTGTGCTGGGAACCCTGATTATTGGTCTTTGGCACTTAAAAGTCCACAATAGTCAATTAGTTTTGACATTTTCAGAAGTAAACAAACACCGAAGCACAGCAACCTTGCAATGGGTAACTGGGCAGGTGCCACCACTGCCACCTGCCCAGTTACCTTGGGGTGGGTGCCCAGTTACCCCACAAAGGGAAAATTTTCAAGGTAACTGGGCATCAACCCTTTGCAGCCAGTATTTTCATCCAATTACGTTGTAATTACTCACGCATTACACAAATACATCATACATGAAGAAGAATTGTCAAAGTTGAATAAAATACTTGCTGGGAGTGAGATATGAGGCTCTTTTCGGGACCACCTCCGGCGTTGTTTTGAAAAAAAAGCTGTCCAATTTTCGGCACTTCACCATTCACCATAAAAATTTTTTTTAAAGTTATGTTTACATGTTCTAGATGGTTTACGTCATAATGAAGGTATGCCAACAGTGAAAACAATGTTTGCACTAATATGGTAGAAATACAGAGGGTACTGCCCAGTTACCCCACCGCCCAGTTACCCAACCTCACCTTATTCGCATTTATAAACTTGTAAAAATCAAACGGATTAGTTCCTGTATCGCTTATTTTAATTATTTTGAATACAGTTGATTTCATTCTCCTGTTAACGAAATGAATTAATTATGTTGCTGTTTTGAAATAACTGTTTGACCCTATCTCTGGGTATTATTCCAGCTAAAAAAAAAAAATAATAATTTCAATCAGCCTAATTTTGAAGCATACGAAGCCGTAAAGTTCCCTCGAAATCTTTTCAATCATACCTAACTCTACGGAAGAATTGTGCCATTTTTCCTCAATTTGTTTTAAGGCGACACGTTTTTATTTTGCCGTTTTGCACCACGTTTTTGCTTTTCATTCTCTCTATTAAGGCTTTTCATCTTTGTGTGTGCTCATCATCCCCCTATGATGAGCACGATTATAAAACGCTATTTCCAATATTCGTTTTACAGCGAATAGGTACCAAGAGTTACAAAGGCGGGTAAAATAATTTCAATTTTTTCTTCCTTTCTCTCGTTTCGTAGTATCGAATGATTTCCCCGGGAATGGACCCCTTTACTTCAAATTCAAGTTTTTTCGAATGGACGCGAGGTATACGAGAGGACTGCATTTCTATTTCACGGGAAAAGTCAAGAGCGAGCAATTCGTCATGGAGAAGGTGCCATGAACGGCTGAACACGGCGGCGAATCGGAGTTGGCCGCGTCGCGTCGTATCGTCTGCGGTCGTCGCACTCCTCGCACTCAGCTTTTAAAAAAATATTAAGCTCGTCATAATTCAGATTGTAAAACCTCCGGCTTTTCTGCGACTTTAGAACACGCTAGGTGCAAGAAAAACATTGTAACTATTCAAGGTGAACTGGCAGAGAACGCATTTGGTCTTTATCTATTTTAGATCCCATCTACCTAAATCTAAAGAAAATTCTCACAAATTTAGAAAGCCAGCTTTTATTTAGCCTGCAGTCCCTTCTTCGTAATGATGAACACAAGGGTAACAGCCATCCGGGAGGAGAGGTCAAAACTTTTTTTAAAAAAAAAAAAAAAAAAAAAAAAAACCTGGAAAGTCGCAGTTTTTTTTTCAGTTTTGTAGAATACCAAAAAGATTATGTGTTCTACTGTATTTTCCAATTTGTTTCTTATTTTTCCCTCTTTTTGTTTTTTCCTGAATTTTTTTTCGTTTTGTTGCTTTGATTCTTTTACCTACCTATTTACTCTTTGTTCTTTCTTGACCTTCTTGCTCCTCTTTCTCCCCCTCAGTTTATTTTCTTGTTTGTAGAAAAATTTTTTAACGCTCTTTCATTGTTTGAATTTTTTGCTTTTTTTAATCACGTTTTTCGTTGTTGGGCTGCTTTTTTTTGGGGGGGGGGGGACAAAGATTTTTTACCCTGCTTAAGTTTTCTTATTGTTTTTTTTTTTTTTTTTTTTTTTTTTTTTTTTTTTTTTTTTTTTTTTAGTCAATCATTATATTCGAGACATCTGCAGCTGTTCTTTGTCATATACGGGATAGTATTTTATATTAGTCACAAGTTGTAAATTCTTTAAATGCAAGTTCCTGACAAAACATCCATACATCCAAGCTACAAGAAATAATATACTTGAAATTTTATCGATCCTGTTATCGTTATCACTAATTTAGAAAATGTAGGAAGAAGGCGATACTTTCGGATGCATTCTCTTATTTTCTTTACTTTAAATTGCTCGATTTATTTCCTCCTTAACTTTTATAACTATGTACTCCTCACTCCTCACGCTCAAAGGAGCGAGGCAGCTGTTGTATTATGGTGTATATCTTGTAGGTACTTGAAATCTTTTAGTAGCAGTTACTTCTAAAAAATAAACCTAGGAACACTTGATTTTGAAAAAAAGCTCATAACATGTAAAACTTCATATGTTAAATTACAAAAATAATACGTACTTAAATTTTAGTTTCTTGGTTTCTTACTTCAAGATGAACCCTGCCTCGCAAGACCCTTTGAAACCTTTTATGCTTCTAAGCTGGTGTTAATTTGTTGGTTTCCTCACTTTGTTTCAGCTACTAATGAATTAGTCCTGATCAATTTTTATGCCGACTGGTGTAGGTTTAGTAATCTATTGCAACCAATCTGGGATGAGGCTGCTGAAAAAATTTCTGCAGAGTTTCCAACTCCAGGTCGAGTACTTGTCGGCAAAGTAGATTGTGATAAAGAAAGTAAGTAAATTCAATTCTTAGTCGATTCTTTCATTGTCTAGTCGAGATCCGTTCTTCCATGAGTTATTAGCCGTATCTGTAATTGATCAAGAGAAATAAAAACCAGGTACTATAAAAGTGGGAAGCAAGACAGTAGTGTCTCTGTAAAGATGATTGTTTTTTAAACATTTTGGCCCCTAAATCCTTGAAAATGAAAAATCCGAAGTTTTTACTGTTTTATCATTCGTTTAAATGTTTGAGAAACAATTAATATTCATTGAAGTGTGCTGCTTCACCTAGAATTTTGACCATCCATGAGACTTCAGTCCACGAAGACATAGAAATTGAGCAATTGCAACGAGAAGTTATAAAAGTGCTCCACAAGTATTTCGGAACATTTTTCAATTTGGCAACTTGGGGAAAATGGTTTTGAGAAAAAGCTATCCAAGATTCTAAGCTGCCAAGTTCAGGGTAGGTACCTACAACATTTCTGGGAATTTAACTTCTGCGTAAAATTAGTTGTAAGCCGTTCGCATTTTATTATTTAAGATGCTTGTTAGAGTTTTCTGTTGAAAATCTCCCTGTCCAGTTTTTCGACCCAACTAAACGAAAATCGCTTTAAGTCTAAATATTGGCTCTTTGGACAAAGGTCCCTCTGCCCCTGAACTATTAGACTTGATTATTTTAAATAGATTCAAATGGGAAAAATTCACTGTTACCATCTTAGGATGATCACTACTGCTCATAATTTTCTAACAGATTAGTTTCCCTTTTCTCAGGGAAAATCAGATTTTAAGTACCGTAAATGTCTGAAATGGTGTTCGATGTATCTGTTACTAATATACCTGTTCCCATTTTTCAGATACTGTAGCTGAAAGATATCATATAACCAAGTACCCAACTTTAAAAGTCATCAGAAATGGTTCACCTGCAAAGAGAGAATACAGAGGCCAGAGATCGGCAGAAGCCTTCTTGACCTTCGTCAAATCGCAACTTGAAAATCCCATCAAGGAATTCTTCAGCTTACAGGAGATGAATAATTTTGATGTAAGTATTTTTCCATAGTTTAACTCTTTCATAACTGAGTCTCGCTGTTTTAAGTTGAATTTGTCAGATTGGATTTGAATAACTTTGAGAAATAAAGAACTCCAACAGGCTACAAAACTCCTCTTTGTGCTAAAAAGAAAATTTGGTCAAATTTAAAAAATGGTGCTTGGTAAATCGAATAAAAATCGTAGAAGTAGCCATGAAAAATGCCCATCTCCTTTAAAAAGAAAAAAGAGATTTTCCTGCTTTTATGCAATATTCTTCTATGGTTTCGTGAATTTTTTAAAAATGTGTTTGTTTGTTGTTGTTTTTTTTTTTTTTAGACAAAAAAGAGAATTATCATTGGTTTCTTTGACACCAAAGATGTGCCTGAATATGATATTTTCAGACGAGTTGCCACGAACCTAAAAGAAGACTGTCTGTTTTACGTCGGAGTTGGGTAAGTTTTGCTGATATTGTTTTGATCGGAGTATTACCTATGAGATGTTCAAGGCAGCAATTAAATATGTGATGGCAAACAATCAACAAGACTTTTAAAATTTCAGGATTGAGGCCATTTGTCTCTGATAAAGACGTTGATGTCTGTATGTCTGCGTTAATTTTAGACTGTAAAAAATGTAGCAGGGTTTTCTTTAGATTATCCACGGTGTCTGCAGGCCTGGAAAACCGGGAAAAATCAGGGAATTTGATCACTGTCTGGAAAACCGGGAAAAGTCAGGGAATTCGATCGAAAACCGGTGAAAGTCAGGGAATTTTCGCAATTCGAACATTTCGCGGCTATTTTTGCTCGTCACTGCCGAATTGGCCGAGTAGCGCGCTCGCGTGGCTGATAATGAATACTGCTCTGTTCAACCAGTTTGCAACACGGCCGCTAGGTTCACTAATGTGTGTTCGCTAACTTTAAAGATCGAATCGATCTGCCCTATTTAATTTATCTTCTTAGCTCATGCCAAATGGCAAGATATACTAAATAGACTTGAATATAGTATAGATGAAGTTAACTTCCTAACAGCAGAAAATTACAGTAAATAATGATAGAAAACTAAGTGCCCCAGTTATGAGCAGATTGTTAATCAATTTTTTCAATAAGTTAGGAAATTGAATGAAAATGCTAGAATTTTAGTTTTTCTTTAACCAAGTAAAGAAATATTTAATGTCAACTGCATTTTGCATGAAATTTTTCTGGTTCTTAAATCAACATGTTCACAACTGGTGCATCCACCTTGTAGAAATATTATTGGTGAATTATACACTAACAAGCCAACGCTTGTTGAGTATGAGACAAATTCAATACCAACAATAGGTTCTGGAATCCATTGAATTAATTGACCTTAAAAAAAAAAAAAAAAAAAAAATCCCAAATCAAGCAAATTTATCTAAAATCGAGAAGAGACTCGCATTTCCTCTTGATTATAGCAAAACCTACCTGAGTTAGGCACATTTACAACTCTTGTTTTATATTTTAAGAAAAAGAGACTTGTATTTTCAGGGCACTAAGTATTATGCCAATATTTATGAAACCACCAGGGTGAACTATAGTTTGAATTTTCAAAAGTATACGGGGCAATATGTCACAAAGAGAGCGTAGTAGAGCTTAAAAATTAAATTTTGAAGGTGCATTTTAGTCTGAGTATACCATTTTGGAATTAGCTTTATTTCGAGTATTTAGGATCTCGTTCCTTTCAAAAGTATTACTCAACTCCTTCCAACGCCATGGTGATTCAGAATATGACTATTTCTAAGGATAGTTTTTTTTTAATATTTTCTAACTAGTTCATCGTATGGCTAAACCCAAAAAGTCAGGGAATTTTGTCATTTTTTGTCATGGAAAACCTGGAATTGTCAGGGAATTTCATTTTGAAAATCTTGTAGACACCCTGTTATCCAAATTAATGTGACAGTTGACCAATTTTAATATCCAAAAGTTTGGATAATCTGATGGACATAAAGCTTTGAGTCTTCTTTCTAAGGCTCAAGGTCCAGATCTCTCTGAAATTTGCAAGTGTACAATCAAGTTAGAACAGACTTATTCTTTACATCTTGCCGAGGGAAGAAAGTAGATTTCGTGTACTAGGACCATTGATGTGCTCCTCTTCAAGCTGACGAGGGCTCTAATCTCAGTCATCTGGTGGTTTTATCTATGACTGTGTGGAAAGAAGGTATTTTTCTGAAATATTGAACAGTGGTGTGGCGTGAATGATCGATTTTCGATATATCCCCATTTGAATCCGTGGTAAAGAATCGATTATTAAGGTGTTCGCTGCGATCACCCTGTTTATCGATCCTTTTCCATAGGTTTAAATGGCATAAAAATCGATATATCGCAATTCACGCCACGCCACTGATATTGAATTATGTTATGTTTACCTACACATCATATGTTTGCATCCATCTTCACGTTGGTAACAAAGAATGAAGAAAATTCATTGGAAGAAGTTACTTTCACTTTTAAGAGGCATTCTGCAATGCCTCTACAGAATTTGCTTTCAGGTTGAAAAATCCCCTGAAAATTTTTTTCCAGCCCCTGAGAGCCCTCAAAGCTCCTTGATTTTACCAGTGGCGAAGCTTGAATAATGGATTATCGATATTTCCCTGTTTGAAGCTGAAGTAAAGAATCGATTATTAAGGTGTTCGTTGCAAACTTCCTGTTTATCGATCCTTTTTCTCATAAATCAATATATCGCAAAGCTCGCCACGCTTCCGGATTTTACCCATTAAAACTCCTTGAAAACTCCTCGGAAGTCCTAAATTTTGGCTTTGAACTGCTGTGGATTTCCATTTTTCTCAGGAATTTGTGTTGCTATATTCATCACCCCGGTATTTTTATTTTCAGTGAGCCAGTACGAACGATGCATCCACCTGGCACACCGATCATTGCCTTCCGTCCCGACCATGCCACTCCGGACTCGGAGAATGAATCTTACAAAGGATCCTTATCAAATTATGATGAATTAAACGCGTGGATGACAGACAAATGTGTACCTCTAGTCAGAGAAATCACGTTCGAAAATGCAGAGGAGCTGACAGAAGAGGGCCTGCCATTCTTGATACTCTTCCACAAGCCGGACGATTTGCAAACGGTCAAACTGTTCAAGGAAATCGTCGTTAATGAATTAATATCTGAAAAGCGTAAGGAGAATTTGAACAATTTTTGTTTGTGATGTTACTGATCAAATAATTAAACATGGTTGGAGTAGCATCTATGAATAATGAAATAAGGATTAAAACAGGAACCTTGATGCTCATAATTGTTTTGACTTACATAATTTAGTACATGCAGAGGTGGGAGCCGAAGCTTTTCAAACGTCTAGCGTTCATCATCAGGGCATTCATATCCCTTATTACCCTTTTTGCTGTTATTACTATGTATGCCCTGATGATGAACGCTAGACGTTTGAACAGCTTTGGCCCCCACCTCTGCATATACTAAATTATGTAAGTAAAAACAATTGTGAGCATTAAGGTTCCTGTTTTAATCCTTATTTTACGTATCAAAATACTTTCAAGTTTTTTGGAGGTGAGGTGAAGGCAGCGAAATTCAAGTGCAGCGTCAGTCAAAAGCATACTCACCTGAGATAGTTAAAATTGAATTGCTAGCAACTTTTGTGTAGTCTGGAAACTTAACTTAAAATTTTATGTATTTTTTGTATCTCTAAATTTGCCAGTTCTTATAGAAGAGGTTCATAGTAAATTTTCTGACTTACACTGAAAGAAATATGAAAGTTTAAGTAGACGCATTCTTGCAAAAAATAATCTATTTATCAAAAGAATCAAGGCAAATGATGGATAAAAAATTGCAGATAGAAAGCTGAAATGTTTGCATTTTGGGAAATATCTCTCTTCTGTATTCATTTTATGTATTTCTGTTTCTCTATGTTCTTTTTTCATTCTGTAGAATACAGATAATATTAATTAAACAATGCAGAAATCCGTTTCTCTATTTCTACGCAATAGTATTCCAAACTCTAATTTTCCTCTTACTGTTGCAGAAAATGTGAACTTCCTCACAGCAGACGGAGAAAAGTTTGCTCATCCTCTGCACCACTTGGGAAAATCGCAAAGCGACTTGCCACTCATTGCGATAGACAGCTTCCGACACATGTACATGTTCCCGGACACGTCACAAATGACAATCCCCGGCAAGCTGAAAACATTCATCCAAGATTTGTACTCAGGCAAGCTCCACAGGGAGTACCATTATGGGCCAGACCCACCTACAGAAATACTACAAATCGATGGTAAGTCGGGTCCCACCACGCCTCCAGAATCAACGTTCAAGAAACTTGCGCCATCGGACAAAAGGTATACCCTCCTGCTCAAAGACGAACTGTAAAAGCGTCTGATGCCTCCTCAGCAGCACTGCCGTTTTTGGGTCGTTTTGGCATGATCGGCCGTAAATTCCTGCTAAAATTTAGAAGGAAACACCCTCGAAAAATACGTAAAATTGGCTGATACGATGAAACTGTAAACAGAGGTGTAACACTAGGGTTCGGGATGCTTCAAAAAGTCTATGGATATGCTTGCATTTGTCTTCAAATATTAATGAAATATTCTTGAATTTTGAGCATTGCCCAAATGTACTTAAAAGTCTTTCTTTTCTTTTGCTTCATGGAGACTTCCTAAATGCCAAATTGCATCATCTGTACATTATAAATTTGCTTTTTCATGCGATAGTTGAATAAAATTGAAGTATGTGTAAGAGAAGAGAACTTAACATTTTTAACACCAGTACATTTTCTCTGGCGCATCCTTGAAAGCTCTTGAAATTTTTTTGGAAGTCTCCGGTAACTTCTGAAAGTTCTTGATTTTGGCTGTCATGAACCCTGTAAAATTGCTCTCATTGTCTCTCCAATGTAGTATAAGAGCCATTTTTCAGCCGGAAAGAGCAGGCATGGTGTCATGGTCGGCATTTGTGCCTTTTTACTGCCCCTATCAATTCCTCTCCTCTGAAGATTGTACATTCTTTCTTTCTTCTAATTCTGTTAATTTGACAACTTTCCCTTTGATTTCGTGGCATTTGTATAGTATATTCAGAAACTTTGTATTATTTTGAGAGGGCAACATCGACCTTTAGGTGTTCATTTCTCTCCATCTGTCTGCTGGAATGTACCTTTGCGGCAGAAAATGGATCCCAAGACATCATAGATCTTTCTTAGTGTAATCTAATGGGCAACTCTAGGTCTCTAGTTACAACTTCTATAACATTTTTCTGTTTCATTTTCATAGATTTGATTAGTTTTGTTATCATTCTAGTTCCCCAAAATGTACAGAGCTGCAGCTTGTAGCCAGGTATCACTGGTAAATTCATCTCAGAAAATTCCCTAATGCGCTTCTTACAGCCGTGTTAGGTACAATTATTGTAAAACTTTGAGCACTCATGTCTTTTAATCATTATAATCCACTTTTTAATTGATTGAACACTTCCTTAAGCCCCATGACATTCGAATATCTGCTTTTTGAATCTAGGGCCACCCTCCTTAAAGGTGCCACAGCTTGGTGTAAATAAAATATTCCAAAAATCAATTAGCCCTAATTTTAGTACTTGATGTTCCAATATATGTTGGCTCTAATTGGTCAAGCTACTGTAGAATTTTTTAAGCTGAATTCCAAAGTACCAAAGTTTATGAATTTTCAGTAAAACAATTTGGGCATTTAAAAAATTAAGGATCGGTTCTTATCAACTTATCAGAATTTGTATGATGAATCCAAATGGAAGTCTAAAAGAAAATGCATGATTTCTCTGCAGTAAAATAAGTTATTGTAATATCTTGGAAACTAGTGGTTCTTGAACTGATAGAGTTAATCATACTCTAAGGCAATGTGGATTAATAAACAGATAAAGCTCTCAAAAGGCCAAACCTTCCGAATATGGCAATGCTTACTTTTTGAACTCGTAATGTGTAATTTATTGATAAATAATGTAATCTGTTTATTTTTATACTTTTTTGTTTGTTATTTGTCTTTCTTGTTAATTTTGTATTGATTCTGTACAGTTAGAAAATATTGTCCTTGTCTCGGCACAAAGAAAAAACATTCAGTGAAATAATCGTCAGACTTGTAATAATTTAAGAATATTAAGTTTGTTGATCATCAAATTTTAGCAACTAACTGTTGGTGATTCAATTGATGGAGTAGATCCCCTTTTCGAGAAAATACTGTCGATAGCTATTTTAAGTAAAGGTGGCACAGGATAACTTTGAATATTTAGAGCTGTAACTATCCGGACGCATCAGGAATGTGGGGAAATGGAAATTTACCTAGCCTTAAAGAGAAAGAATCTATTCCTGTCATATAATTATGTAAATCCAAAGAATGCATGCATACTACATTCAAATATTTTTATGAGCTGTCATCTAACTTTATTCCATTTGTGATGGAGTGCTTGGCTTTTTGCGCTGCAGCTGGTGAATATAAATATTGAGGTAAAGTCAGACCACGGTTAATCTAGATAGTCAAAGTTTTACTGTTTACTTTCCATCACAGAAACTCCAAAGATTCAAATATTGTAAAAATTTTGAAACACTGATTTGAACATGATTTTTTACCTCAGTCTCAGACTATCAAAGTATTCTTGTCTTCTTTTCTATTTAAAGCTGTAAGACTAATGTGAACTGGTTCGTCTTTGTCAAATTAAGGAGTATTGTCCTCATTCCTAAGAAACCACCATCACTGTAAAGGAGAATTGCAGTGAGTATTGTGCTATGGTAGACAAATGAAGCGTTTCTACATTCCCTTCTGATTCTGTAAAGTAACTATTTTTATTGTATTGGATAGGTTAAAACACTCCCATCCCTCCTCAACCATCAAAGAAATCCAAATGTTTGAAAATTGATCCTTGATTTTGTTAATTCCCTATGTTCTTATGTTGTTTATTTTATTCCTGTTGAAATCAAATATTATGCAGGGACATTTCTATCATGCAGACAAACATAATAGCATGGAAATGTGGGAAAGCTGTGTAGATCAGCTTGCCAATGCGTTGAAATTTGCTTGTTTTTCGTAGAATGCAGTGGATTTTGTGTTTTTTGCAAAATTGCGACAAATGGTGAAATTAGGTCTAAAGAATGACCATTGCTTTAAACATTTTCAGGAGAAAAGGGTTTCAAAATGAGAAGGCCAGCTATAAAAATGGGAAGATTGAGAACTTTCAGCATCCCTGCCATCATTTTCATGGCTTCAAATCAAAACATGTTTGTTTTCTTTTCTTTTTTTACTAAAATCAGGGTTTGTGACAACTTAAATATTCTTCGAGACGCCTGTAATTTTTTTGTTTTCCCTGAATTTTCATGTCCTCGATTATTCTTAAATGTAAACAAATTGTCCAAATGTATATTATCATCTTTGAATTTTTGCATTATGCAGTTATTTTGTCCACATCGTCTGGCAGATTGGTCTATTTTTTCTTCTCCATGGAGACCTTACAAATGACAATAGAACAAAGGTATGGGAAGAGGTAATTTCCATTTTAAAGTCCTCAAAAACTCAGGAACTCAGTCCTCATTTTGGAATAAAAAAGCTGTCATGAACCCTGAAAATTCAGTTTCAGATAACTGCAACATTTTTAAGTAATCTGTCGAACGAATTTTCGAATACAATTTTCCCCGAGAGCTGGTCTTTTTTCCAGTTTTATGGTAACTACTGCAATTAGCTCCAAACCTACAGGCAGCTTCAGAGTTGTGACTTGAACCTTTGAAAATATTTTTGAAAGTTTGTGATATAATTATTTTTATAGATCAGGGAGCTTGTAATACCAAATTTACAGAAATTCCACCGAGTAATTTTCTGTGCGCTCCCTGATATTTGTAAATTAGTCTTATTTCTAGGTGCAGTATTATGTGATTTGTACTCGAGCAGAGTGTAGCATCAAAGCCTGGTATTTTACAAATTTCATCGACATATTGGATAAAAACCTCCTCTCTGACTTTTCAGCATTAAGCTATGTTGGCTTTTCTGGTCAACCCTACCCACCTAGAATCCAGGTGAAGTTTATTTCGTTCCCTTCTATCCGGGACTCGATGTTTTAGGCCAACATTGACAAAAAATATTGGTATTCTTTTAATGGAACTATCGAGAACTATTAAAAAATAAGAATGCCTGATGTATTTCTTAGAAATGATTTTCCTTACTTCTCACTTGTGCATTTGTCGCGTATGATGCTAACTTTGGAACCCAGCAGATAAATAAAATCATCATTTTAACCTAGGCTTGTAAATTTTACCCGTCCTAAAAATTATCATCTGTCATATAGAGAGTGAGAATGATGCTGTGTGACTAGGCTTTGATGGCAGATACCTTTGCTGTTGAAATGGATGCGCTTTTTAGTTCTAACCTATATAATTTGGGATGTATTTTTAATTTTAAAACAAACAATGTTGACAGTACATAAGAACATTCAGAATTCCCCTGAAATTAGCGAAAACTCTCTTCTGTGCAATCTAGTGTTCATTACGCATCTTTCTCAATGCTCTCAGTCAAATTGAGTCAAAGTGTGCAGAGGTACAATGCTCATATATTTGTGTTTCCGTTTTTGGTAAAGTCCATCTGTTGAGTTTTTATTTTATAATTCCATCAGCAAATTTCTGAAACTTTGATCCTACCAGCTGAGAGAAAGATGCGCCTCGTTTTCTTAAGACAAATAAATCAAATTAAGTTTATTTTTCTTGCCCTACTTCCGTTGAGAGCATGTTAGATATTTTCGTGTGTTCTTGATTACAAATTATCATACTGCGATTTCAGTAAAAATTTTGTATAAATTTTGATTAAAAGTAAAAGCAACTACGATCTATTTCGTCAAGTTCTGTCTCCTCTACCCAACTTTTACCCCTAAATTTTGAAATTTTACCCTCATCAATTGATGATACATTGTGTTGAATTTGTTTTTGCGGCTCATTTGAATGATATGTGTAAGTTCAGGGTACAGATGAATTTAATCTATTGTGGGAGGCAAATAATTCAGTGTCAGTGTAATGCAATTGCTGTATTAAGATAAGCAAAGGGAAGGGCAAATTTTTCCTATATCCTACTCCATTCTTTAATATTTCTTGTGACATTAGAACAACATATTATGGTCTGTACATTGCTGTTAAGTCATTTTTCCTAAGTAAGAAAATATTTAAAATGTCAAATTGATCAGTTTTCTTGATTTTAAAATCAAATTGAATTAAAATAACGAAAAATGTGTGATGCTTGTGTTTAGCATCCAAAAATTAACAAACTTTTTGTATCTTTGTTTGGTATTTGGCTACGACTCCTCAGTGCAAATCAAGGCAAACGGAATGAAATTACTGTGATTTTAGGTCCTGTCAACTATCGGGTTTTTTTCAAAACGTGTGATGTTAATTTTAATAAATAATGTAAATAAAGTTACTGCACAGTGTAAAAATTACCTCGTTTGTTTCTTATTCAAATTTAACCTGGATTAATTTTTAGTGCAAAGGGAAAGCAAGGCCTATTTTAACTTCAGTGACTACAAAAATCATGTAATATTGAAAATTTAAAATTTTTGACCATCGTATTTCTCCTTGTTAATCATATTTGCAGAGTTGTCCCAATCAGGGAACACTGTAAAATGTCAGGAAACCCTGGGAATGTCACGGAAAATTACAAAAGTGTCCGGGAAAAATCGTTGAGTCAGCTTCATTCGCTTTCAAGAATGAGTTTGATGTTTCGAACAAATGATGCCTGTAAACTATCGCAAATGATGTGTTTTGAATCATCTGGCATATTCTCAATTGTTAGGGAATTTCACCAAAATGTATCAAGAAAATTCGTTTTCTAAATTCTGTGGCAACCCTGCGGCCAGTACTTATAAGGAACTGCCTTTTGAGCTATGTTGCTCTAGTGGAAATTTTGAAATTTTCATTCAAGTGCCAGGAAAGGAAAATAGAGGCTCGAGAGTCTTCTGAGTACTAACAAGAACTGCCTTGCCCTCCTTTCCTGGTTCTTTCATGAAAAAACTGCCTTTTCCAGCTATGCCCAGAAAATTAGTGGAATTTCTGAATTTTTTTATGAAAGTATCAGGACAGGATGAAGGAGAAGGTCTTTAGAGTCAGTGCTCTGAAGACCTTCTGAGTGTCTATCCGGTGATAGACACCCTCTCTTTTCCTCCTATTCTTTTCCGGGTTGCCACAGTCAGGGAATATGTGAAAAACCGAGAAATGTCACGGAATTGTTACAAGCAGGAGAAAACCTGGAAATGTCAGGGAAAAAGAGTTTCTTACCATGAGGATAGTCTCATTTTTGGAGGATTTTAAGAGAGAAGAAGTTTAAAGGTTTGTACCTGGTAAATAAATAAAAAAGGATAAATTAAATCAACACTGATCTACTTTTCTAGAAAAAATTTAATTTAAAATATTTTGATTTTGCTTCGATCATGCAAACAAAATACAATAACGAGACAGATGTACAACAGAAGATGCAGCATGAAATTTCCAGTAACAGGAAAGATAACAAGTTCTCTGTCATAACATGCACCAAAACGTAACAATTACCTTATAAAACATTTAAGCAATCTAACGAACATAAGAGATCATCAGTTTCACTGATGACAAAAATAAAATATTCGAGTTCATGCACCTGAGACGAATCAATACTAAAATATGAATTCATCACAAACAGATAGAAACAATGAGAATTTTATTATCCTGGAGCAGAGGTAAAATTACTCATACAGAAATAAATATTACAATGATAAATTTTATAGTTGATAAGGTAGCCTTATAATTAGAGGCTGTTGACTGTCCTTGTAGCATCTTTCACTTACTTCAAGAACATCTGAGTTTTTTGTTTTTTTCTTTTTTTAATTTCTAAACAAATCTTGCGAGTAATTTTTTGAAATAAAAGCACTACTTGGCCACAGATTGCCAGAAAATGCAAGGAAAAAGACAAATCAACGTTTAAGTCCACAATCTCATATCTTGTCTGCGGTGTCTGAAAATCTCCGCCTCTATGTTACTTTTTCAAAGGAGAACAAATTGACATCATTCCTTGAAGTTTTTGCAAAATTTTTTTCGCACAGAGCAGAAAAATCACGGCAATTTTCAAGAACTGCCATTGAGTAGTTTTCCATTTAAAAAGAAAATATGACAGGAAGTTTACGTCGCAAACCGAGTTATGTGATTGCCAACTTACACTGTCAATGTTCTGTTTGGCTTTCAGTTTAATACTCGTACATATTACAAAAAGATTAATGCTCATTTTACGTTTTTATCATTTGAGAGAGCAGTGTAGTAAAGGGAAGGAATAATCCCTTGATAATTTTGGCACAAATCGACTAAGGCTGAGAAACTCCGTAGAATAAGTATGTCACCTACTGTAAGCTGATTACTGAAATAGATGGACAAAGTGATAGACAAAGAAGAAAAAAGGAAATAAAGCAATCCTATTGATGGATACAGGCAATTGCAATGGACAGAGGAGGTAAATAATAGACAAACTAAAGGCAACCCATGAGAGACCCTTCCATCATTTTCTCTCTTGGTCTAAAGGAACCACCAATTTCAACCGATAGGATCGCTCCATACTCTCGATGTTTTTCCACTCTTTTTCGTTCACTGCTTTGTCTATCAATTTCAATGATCAACCAGTTGTTAGTAATTTGTAAGACAATCTAATTATTATATCTAGATGAGGAAATTTTGAAAATTACGCCTCATAATTCCCTATTACAGTCCAAACCCAAAAAGTTGTAACAACATTTCTACGTATTAATGAGATAAGGGAGAAACCCCCAGCAATTTCATCACCTGCTTCATAATTTGCTACATTCTAAACTTCAAATTTTAATCTTGGGGTCGAACATAACCAGTTTTTTCACTCTTACAGACTGCTACAAAGAGTTGGCGCAATATGAATTGATACGCAAGAAAAAGTGAGAAATGACGTGACTAACAACAAAGCGATAAGGAAAGAGCCTTAATTAGGGGCCATAGTGTTGCCAAGTTACACTAGTCTCCGTCTACTGTTCGGTTTTTTACAATATCCCTGACTATTTTTTACTGTGGGTTGCGCTAACTATTGGCTTGTCAATTAAACCATCAACAAAAATTTCTCAACAAACATTTTGTTACAATTTTTTGACATAAAGTTACAGAGCTATGAACAATAAGTAGAGTCTGCCATTCTTGATCTTAAAGGTTGATTTTAATTTTTGGAAAATCAGAACAGTAGATATAAAGGTAACTTCAGAGAAAAAAACAAAAAAGGAAAGAGACCGGCTGACAGGAGTAGAGTCAATGAGGGATTACACTTTGAATATAAATTACAAAACCCTCTACAGCAACTTTTCTTGAACACGTTTTTAAATAAATAAGCCATATCATTCGCTGTTAAAAGAAGTTTGAACCTCTAATAGTCGATTTATGTTATGCATTTTTGGGTGAGAATAATTTAGTCTTGATACAAATTTGAGAAATTGTTTGAAACCCTTCTTGAATTCGTCATCTTCAAGATATCTAAGTGCTCTTCCGTTGGTCAGGAGCTCCATTTTTATCAGGAAACTAATACGTTGACACATGGTTTTATTCTAGTTTTCCAGTGAAATCACGGCATAAAAACTTCAGCTTTGAACTGATTTTGAAAACTCGATAAAAATGATTTTTTTAAAAAAGAAAACTTTTTGTAAATTATTTTTACAAAGTTAGAGAGAGATAAGATTAGCTTAACTCTCTTAGCTTTGGGCATGCTTGGATACAAAACAAAGAAACAACATTTGTCATCAAATGACATGTAAGAAGTAAAATTAAAAAAAAAAGATAGCGGAAGACCTAGCAAAAGTGTTGATCATCTCTTCATAATAGTGCATAGAAGAATTTTTTGATGTTCCGTGTCAGGTGATCTCAAACTTATCACTTAAAAAAAAAACTTGGATTTTTGGAGGTTAGATTTTGAGGAAAGTGTGCGTGGTCACTGTGCAGAGGCAGTCTTAAGACTGCCGTAAATCCATCATGCGCTTTTACTTTCTCTCTCTCTCTCTCTCTCTCTCTCTCTTAGAGTAGAGGAAGTATTGCCAGGAGGGTATCATCAAAAAACAAAACAAGAATTGAAATTCAGTGTTGTTGGGAGGGGGGGGGGGGGGGGTCTTAAAATTTTATAGAATAGCTGAAGGAAAGTTTTTCACAGAGATCATTACTCAATTCAATGATTTTAAGATTCTCTGAACTTGGCTCATCGATAAGGGAGTGAAAAAAACACTTGGCCTTACACAAATAGGCTCTTGATCATTTACTTTTTCAAAAAGGTTAAGTTGCCAAATGAAATAATAGTTAAAACTAGATTATTCAAAGCTTGTCGAAGTAGTTCTTTCCTGACATTTTCTACATTAGAAATTTGATACCAACAAAATTTCTCTGATAAAATGTCAAATGAAATAAAGTTCGTGCCCTGTTGCTTCATAAAAATGAGACAAAAAAAATCCTGCTGCTGAGATCAGTCTGAAATTGAATCCTGGTTTAATAATGTATGATAATGAAAAAAAATAAAATGTACATACGCTGCGAGAGATATTTGAATAAAAAAGTTAGGAAACTCTGAATTTTTGAGAATTGCAGGCAGCTTATCTTTTCAGGGAATTTTCCAGAGGTATTTAAGGGTTCTGATACATACTAATTGTAATCTGGTGCAAAGTGTAATGTTTCTCGTAAAAACAATAAATAAATTAATTAGATTCCTGCCAAAAATCAATTGATCCATCATATAAAAAATTTGATAAAAAAATTTAGAGGCAATTTGGAAAATGTAGAAATAAAAAGAGGACAGTGAAAAACGAACAAATACTCTGGAGAATTCTAGGACTTCCAATGCCAGGTGCAAACAATATTTCTAGGGATCAAAGCCCCTTAAGAAACATAACTGATAAAAAATCAAAGATGACACTGAAAAAACGTACCGCCTGATCGCAATCTAGTGCTTAAATTTTGTTACTTAGAGAGAAAAACAGCTGATTTTTTAGCGGATTCTTTCCGTAAGAGCATAAATCCATTGAGATGTTTCAAAATTGTCACGGAAAGTTAATTTTTTTACAAATGGATTACCATGAGCATTAACTAAGAAATTTTATTAAATTTAGTGGATTGTAAGAAAATGCCTTATTTTTCCCTGAAAATTTGCTCAATTGTCCATCCATCTGAACAAAAATAGACTATTCCAGATTTTTTTGAAATGCTGCAATGATTACACGCATATGAAAGAAAAATATTCACTTAAGTATGCAGTACATTTTTTAGGAATATTTTAATATTTTAACTATCACAGTTTCAAAAAATAAAATCATTGGTTTCTTCATACAGCAGTTGAATGTAAACGGAAAGTTCCGACACGATTAATTTTCTGGTTTCACCATTTGTACGATCATTTTTTCTTCTTCAGATTTTCAATTTATAAAAAATTTGTTTTCCTAAAAGTGCCATTGAATAGACGTGATGATTGTGGGTTGCAACTATCTTTTTCTTCCACACATAATCCTCAATTCAAAGGAAAGACACATTCCTACTGAATGTATCTTCATATCACAAAGATTCACTTAAGACCTAATAAGGAAAATAATACTTTTCTTCGTATATACACAGAGCTTACTCCAACTACATAATACTAAATAACAATTGATGGAAATGTGGAAATACTCAGCATATCAGAACTTTTCCGGATCCTTTAAGCAGCCATTGTGCTTGATGTGACCATTGAGTGGTTGTTCTGAGCAGTTATTCAGATGGTCTTCTCCACTAAGAGCTGACATGCATTTCTCTTGTTTCTTATATCGTTTCTGGAGCTTGTGACACAAATACCAGCCCAATAATGGGAAAGGTGTCATTATTGCAACGGCCACAGGAACAACTGGAAAAAAGAAAATGACTTTTGGTATCTTGAGGGCTTGGAAACTTTTTACATCTTCACCACTCAAGATGAAATTTAGGGACTCTTGGAAAAAGTATCACTATTGATCATGTCTGGTTCCTCTGCTGTATTTTGTATACTTATTATTTAGGGTATTTACTCTATGGTGCACAACATTTTTTTAATGATAGTGAAAACTTAGGTTTCTTGACACAGTTTCCTTAAAATATACAATATATATCGATGGGTAAATATATCGAATGTTGAAACACCGCAATGGGAGTACATACGTAGTTTTGCACTTTGATCATTGAAGTGAAGCCTATGATGAAGTGATGTAGCTGAAAAAGTTCAATGAAATTTTTGTGACAATAATAGGTTGCCTGTGCTATTATACTGATGTTTGAAGAGATATTCAGACGCGTTTCAGCAAGAGGGGAATATATACCTTGCATGCAAGCCCTTTGAACGTAGATCCTTTTGGCATGAATACGTCCATTTGAAAATTACTCTTTCATTTTCACTTTTATTAAACTACAGCTCCACCGTTTCAACCGACTGGAAACGCTTCACTCTTCTCTATAAACCACTGAAGCACAAGGGGTTTTAAAAACTACAAAAATCCGAAAAATACACTACCTGTGGTTAAATCTGCCTCTGGTTGGCCAAGAGCAAAGCGCAGCATAAAGATGGCGATGCCAGTATTCTGAATCCCAGTCTCAATACTAATGGCTAATCGATCCTCTGACGACTGCCTACATACTGTTGCAAATATGTAGCCAAACAAGTAGCCAAGCCACGGAAGGCCTAATCCAGCCACCAAGATCTGGAGGAAAAACACAATGTAGATTGATGATAGCCACCGAACATTTCAGCCAATTTCTTAAAAAATTGGGATATTAGTCGTTTGAGTTAAACTCATTTTAGACAGGATGAATGGAATGCTCAATTCTAATTCCTTGCTAACTTCCTGATTTTCAGCGGCATATCTAGATAAAAACTAATTCAGTTCTTCCTTTTCCCCTAAAATTTTTACAAGTGTTCCCTGCTGAGTAAAGTACTGATAGGCACAGAGGTAGCTCTTATTCGTGAAAGATGAATAAATTTTTTTTTTTGTGTTGATTTTTGACATGATGAACACAAATTTTAGTCTGTTGGGATACACAATAATTTTGATCGACTTTATCAATTTTCATCGATTTTATTCTTTTTGTGTGTGCCTGATACAAGAACAACTAGACAAACAAGACTTCCAGTGTTGGCTACTTTACCAATGTGCGCTCAAAAATTCAGCCGAAGACTGGAAACTCTTTAAAGCAAGAAAAGGCTCGTCTGGCGAGCACAAATTTTGTTTCATGAGAGTTACGCTGTTTGGAGCAAACAGAATTTGTGCCCTAGTAAAAAGAAGGAGTAGAAGAAGAGTAGAACAGTTAATTTTTTTCATTTTTCAGCGCTAATTCAATGCAGACTACTTTTTCAAAACTAAAACGGTTTCAATGCATGAAGAGAAAAACAATTTAGGTTTTAAGTGATGATCACCTGACAAATAACAAATTTTGTTACACTCACCTGCCAGGAAAATAATTTGAAGAGGTAGAAATTGGTCACTGTGGCAAAGACTATAATGAAAACGATCAAACACGCTGAGAAATGTTTCAAAATTCCAACGAGGAACTTGGAAACTTTGGGTACCTTCCTCTGGAGTAAAAAGCCGATTGAAAGAGGAATGACAAGAGCTACAGCAAATGATGCTATTCGACTGTATGGAATGGTCATGTTTCCCTCATTAAAAATCAGTCTTCCAAGTGTGAATGTCCAAAAAGGGATCATAACTGTAGCCAGAAACATGAAATAAAATGAAAAATTAGGTGTGAAAAATTTTCAGGCATCATACAAGAGCGCAATCAATCCATACAATTACTAAAATAAACAAAAAAAACTTTACTTAATCATTTTTTCAATGATTTTGATAATTTTAAGTACATATCTATTTGTTGTTTAATGCACTTGTTATTTGCCTTAGTTTTGAATCTTTTACAATATGTTTCAAATAATGAAGTTTTGAATTCTATAGGAAGTGGTTTACCTTTACGTACTTACATATTTCTGTATTTCTGACAAATAATTTAAATATTAATGGCTCAAGTCGGAAGGTGCGTATCTCTGATTGCAACACTAAATTTTCGTTCACTTTTTATTTTTTAAAAAGAAAACTGACCGACAGTTTTTCTTGACATTTTCTGTGAATTTTCTTCACGCATTCAAATATACTTGCAGAAACTTCAGAAGTTATAATTTAGTTGGTTATCACTTGGAAAAATAGGTAGTGGTGAGAGATTTTGAAATATTGCAATGCAGTTACGCATTTTTCAACTTTGACAAGCGATATGTCCATCTAAATCAATGCTACTTCATTCCTTCCTATGAGTGAAAGTGGCTGTCTTTAAAAAAAGACTGTAAGTTCTGTAAGGTTGATCATTCCTTGATATTCAGTTCATGGGATAAAAACCATTTTAAGCCATTTAGCAATAAAGTCATGAGAAAATACTTAATAAGTTTTACATGAGTTCAAATAATTTCAATTGAGCAATGTTAACTCAGACCAGCAGCCTATCATATCCGTGATACCAGCTCCATGACTTCCTTTGCATTCTACGGTTAAATTTTTTTTTAAATAAACCAATGTATACAGCTGTAAAAAACAAGCAATAAGGAGATGAATACTCACAGAAAGCAGCAAAAGTACTGATGGCAGTCATTGTTATGCTTAGATTAAGATTCCCACCCAAGAGATAGATCCAGATATTGGAAGCTCCTCCTCCAGGTGCAACACCGGTGAAAAATAAACCTAATTGCATTGCTATTGAGTGCGGAAATAGAAGCTTGGCTAGGAAGAAACTTATCTGCGGAAAATAAAATAATTGAAAAAAAATTACTGACTGGCCAAATAAAAAAGTTTAACAGATTCTGTTCCAATTAGATGAAACTTAGTATATTGAAACAAACGATGAGAGCAGGTGATAGATAAACTACTCGTTGAAAAAATAACACAGGTCTGAAGTTCTTTAACATTTTCAGAAAGTTGAGCAGATGATAGGTGATATGATTATATTTTCAACACCAAGTCCTCTCCACTACACACTAAGTATCCAGAAAATCAAATTTCCCCAAAAAATGTGGTTTCTTGGCAGCTAAAAAGATATTCTGGGAGGAAATTAATTTTTCAGGAAAAATGATGGCAAAAAAAAAAAAAATGGTTAAAAGAAGTCCCATCATATACCTAGGGAAAAATAATTTTTTGTCCTTTCAACTGAAAAACGATCAGATCACTTTTACCTAATGGTTTCATGGCGGATTATGCCATTGGAGTAGAAATAGGGGGGTAAAATATTTCGGACATGCAGTTTGTAAGTACAAATAGGGACATTTGTCCACAAAAGCTCAAAATTAAGTTATTCATACTACAACATAGTGAATTGTCCCACAGACATTTTGAGACAAAAACCACCCATTCAAACTAAACCGGTGTTATGATTGTTTGTAGTTTGTAGTTTAAAGTATGCAGTTATGAGAAAAAAACAGAATAAAATCCTCATGAATCTTGTGGAGGGTATGAAATCACCCGGGAATCATCCCAGTTCATGTGGAGGGAACTTCACACTCCTAATTAGCATAAAAACAGACTAAAGCAACTTGTTCTTTCAGACACTAGAGAGAGTTTTCTGCTGTTACCTTAACATCCAATTTTTCAACCCAAGTCAACAAAGATAGTTTTTCTGAAAAGATTCCCTGTGGACTACAACCCAATGCACACGGTCCAACTTTTCATTCAACTTTTCTTCCAACATTATTGTATGAATACTTTCGCTGTGTTACAAAAGTTGGATGAGAAACTAAGCCATGTGAATTGGGCTTACCGTCCCTTCTTCTATTTGGTCACATATCGACGGAGAAACTACCAGACCACGTATCTCGGTTTGCGACGTTGTGGACCTCTTGTCATACTTTACTTCTTAAAAGAAAAAGCGCTAAACGTCAGTTCTTGAAAACTTTCATTATTTTTCTTTTTTGAGCAGAGAAAACTCTGTGAAAATTTCAATGAATGTTATCTATCTGGTCTTCTTCAAAAAAATAAAATGTGAGTGGATATTTTTAAACACCGCAAACGAGATACGAGGTCTGATAGTTTCATCGTCGATATGTGACCAAGCAAGGTAGGACTTACCAAAGGCATAAAAAGAAACTGTGAGATGAAGCCGATGACAGGTCCTATCGGGCGACACAGCGATTTTCTAACTAGCGGCCAATCTAGGGCACAACCAAAGTTAATGAAAATGACAGCGACCAAAATGGCAACGCTTGAGGTGAAAACGTGATCGATAACCCTCATCTTCCGGGAGACAGCAACCCTCAGAGGATTCGATATCATTGAGTAGCGTCCTTCAGCACCTGAAAAAAAAAGAAGATAAATAATTCAATTGATTTTCGCAAGTTAGAATCATTCCTTCTTAATATGTAGTCTGTTACTTACTGAAATCGACTGCCAACATCAGATCTTCAGAACTTGGGCATTGATTTTGAACAAAACAGTTATACCTCCACGTTTCTTGCAAAATTTGACACACAAGTGGTTGGTCAAAATGCAGATACCACATAAAAGCTCCATCATTAAAAGAATGTTTGTCGAACCATTTTTTTAAAAAAATAAAAATAAAAACATTAGCTAATTTCCGATACTTCTTTAAAACGCACCCTTGCAAGTGATAAAAATTATGATTCTACTCTTGGACGAAAATGATGATATAAAGTACATTTTAAGTACCTTTCCAAGTCGATACATTTCAAAAAGTCAGTAAATCTTTCTAAAAGCAGAGTGGCAACTGCACTCAAAAAAAAAGAGAGAAAAATTAAATCCTTTAACTTTTTTCCCTGATTTCTTTTTACTCGAAAGAAAAAGTAAGGCCTCTACATTTTTTGGAAATGTGAACTTTGTCCTTCCGGCGGTTTTCTTTCTGAACGTAACGACTTCCTGACAGCTTAAAATTTCCGGACTTTCCAAGAACTTTTGGACTCAGCTCAAAATAAAGATTCTTCTGTCAGATTTTCTGGACTTATTGGACCAGTACGGTGGATACATAAAAGGAAGGCTTTATCGGTTTAGATCCTCTTCAATCACTTTTCGCGACAGGTTTAACATTGACATCTACCTTACCATAAGCACTCTGAGTACCTACCTGTCGAATTTTAACCGGAGGTTAAGACTCTGAGTTCCAAAATGTCCGACCGGTCAAAAAGGGTCATTCTGACGTAAAATACAAAGCACCCCCAAAATCCCCAAAAATAGCGCTTAAATTTGACCAGGTTTCGTTTGATTATTTAAATTGATGGACAAAGCTATGGGCAAAGAGGACAAAAAGGATATGGAGGGATCCTGTTGGGGGAAGCGGATGGTTGCAATGGACAAAGGAGGTAGGTAATTTCGTAACTAACAACAGCCTACGAGAGAGACCCTATAGTTAGTCGAGGATTATCTCCCTTACTCTATACGAACCACCCATTTCAACCAATAGGATCACTCCATACTCCCTATGCCTTCTATGCCTATCGCTTTGTCTATCAAATTCAATAATCAGCCGGCCAGGGCTAGTAAAACCGGCCCTTGAATGATAACCTGCGAGCTTTTCCTGGTTCATCGTCAGGGTGGGGAGGGGGGACGGCAGCTACTGAGCAGCATGAGCAGTGCACTTCCGTGGTCAGTGGCGTGGGGTTATTTTTGGGCGGATTTCGCATGGCGCCCCGATTCCCCGCTCCAATGTCGCCGCCGCCCGCCTCCGCGCTCCGCCTCGTGGACGGGAATCCGAGCACCTTGACCTCAGCGTGACGAGCGATGAGCCGCGGACGGTGACCGCTAGAGAGCACCGTTGCATCGGGACCGCTGGACCGCGGTGTCGCGAAACCGGATCCGGCATCCATGAGATCGGGCTTCCTCCTCGCTTCGCTGATTTGGTTGATAACGGCGATTCGCCCGATTAGTCCGGGATCCAATTTCGCCAGAGATGAGGGACAATGGGTCAGTTGCGCTCGTCGCAGAATTGTAGTTGGATGCTTGATTCTTGTAGATTAGCTAAAAACAATAACATCTGTCCAAACAGCAACTCCTCACGTTCAATATTAACCGAGATATTCGCCCTTAGAAAAGTCATGTTTTCGACGTCATCCACCGCGGTAGTGACACCCTTGGTTTCTTCCACCTTGCTTTCATCCGAGTTTCACGTTGAGTAACCATAGAGTAACCATAGCCATATAGCGAGAGTTAGAGTACCTATATTGAGAGAGTATGGCCACTGGGCCCCATGGAGAGGCTTAGGACCCAAAAATGGCGGTGCTTTGTTTTGGTTTTTGTGGATGGGAGGGGGGTCATTGCCAACTTTTGACGGTTATCACCAACCGCACTTGCTGCCAACCTTACTACATCTAAGATAATTTTTCTCAAAAATTGCACACGATTAGCCTTAAAAATATGTAAAGATGTCGCAATAGTGCATTTGAGTAAATTTCTCGTTACGATAAGCAAAGAAAACTACATTTTGAGTCATTTTGCATTACATTAATTTATGGCGTCCGCCATTTTTGGGTCCTAAGGGCTCCATTTAGCCTAAGATGGCTGAGCCAATCAGAGGTGGTAACCTCAGTGGCCATACTCTCTCAATATAGGTACTCTAGCGAGAGTATGGACAGATCGCTTCATGGAGGGCTTAGGGCCCAAAAGTGCAGCCATCCTTCTAACCAACTTCTAACGCACAAAATTTCACTGCCAGTCTGCAGATTCCAATTCTAACCAAGATGGTTAAGAATGTACATAAATGAGCGTTTTTCCGCAAAAACGAGTAAATTTATGCAAAAACTAGGTCAAATACGTGCTTTATAAACGATGGTTCGTAACAATTGTATTAGTACAGAGCTCTGGATAATTGAGATTCATAGGTTGGCTGCATTTCCCTAACTTTATCCGCGGAGACATCGGTGAAGGCCTGATGGATTTTCGGAGTTTCACATCTGTCTATACTCTCGCTATACAGGTACTCTAAGTAACCAGCGCAATACTGACTGATGAAAGCAAGCTGGAAGAAACCAAGAGTGTCACTACCACGGTGGATCACGTCAAAAACCCGAATTTTCAAAAAGTGATATCTGGGTTAATATTGGACGTAGAAAGTTGCTGTTTCGACTGATCTTATTATTTTTAGCTAATCTATGAGAATCGAGCATCAAACGCGATTCTGTGACCAATGTAACTGACCCATTCTCATTTTGACGAATTTATTGGAGGCATATTCATAAAAAATTCAAAGGTTGAGATTACTCACCACCGGCTCTGGCCACCATTTTGATGCGGATGTTGGCATAGCCGAGGAAATTTGCGGATAAATTGAAGCTACCTCCCCATTTGTACCGCGATAGAGATTCAGTTTTGATGAAGAGGGGCTTCTCTCCTATGGGTTCAGCTATTTCCGGATCTGATGTTTCTACAGTGACCTAAAAGAAAAAAAAAGAATACAATGCTGAAAATTTTCAAAACAAGGGGAAAAATTAAAACGGTTACATTCATGAACTTCTTTAAGAGGTGTATTTTTAAAATATCTTTTGTCGTCGGAAAAATCGGCGATAATTATATCTTTGATTTGAAAAACCTTGATGGCTCCTTGATTTTCCTCGTACTCCAAAATTTCCAAATTATCTCCTTTTATGATTTGTGCTAAAACAAGTAAGCCAGTTCGTCGCCCCTTTGAAGTGAGAGCATGCCTCAATTTCCATATGAGCCCTATTTCACACATAAATCCATGCTTTCTGGGGCTCATTCGGATATCGAGAAACGCCCTTCCGTAAAAAAAAAGTGACGAGGTTTCAGATTGGAATTAATATGAAAATAGACAGTCGCATATTTTTTACATATTTATTTATTTTTTCGACGGAAATTCTCGATTTTCTGGGCACTCCCCTGATTTGCTTCATGCTAGACACGTCCTTGCAAGAACGCATGCTTTTCCTGACATGTTGCCCTCTTTCCTGCAACATGCTCATCTGTTCAAACCTGACTCTTTCCCGATCCACAGCCATATTCCTTCCATACCTGATTACCTGGTTTTCCGACCTGGCCCATTCGTGCTGTCGCGTTTCCCGTGCTATGGTAACCAATTGGCTTGGATTTTAACATTTTCTGACTCTTTCAAGACATTATAGAGTTTTTGAATATGGAACTTGAATACTTTTCCAAGACTTATAAGAAGTCAAAATGGTTTTTGGCATCATTTTGCACGAAAATGCTTTTTAAAGAAAATTCAGCGCGAAGTCACTTAAATTAGAAAAAAATAAAAAATGCAAGAATTTTAAGACAGGAGTTGTGATTTTCGCGGAACGAGCATGTAAATGCGGTAGAAAATGGTTTAATGTTTCGGCCAGAGGAAATAATTTCACAGTGGCGGATCCAGACACTTCGAACGGGGGATGATGGGGACGGAAGGGGGCCCAGTGGGAGGGGGCTTCCGCTTCCTCGAAAATTTTGAAATTTTACAACATCTAAAAGCTATGAAGTTTGAGTCAATTTCGTGATGAATAATTACCAAATCTAAGCATTCTTCCTTCTTCTTTCCTCTGTTACTCTGTCATTTGTTCGGAGCGACATATACCCCACTTTTTAACCACCCCCCCCCCACCGTATTGAATTTTAGAGGTTCCGCACATGTATTCCTGATACTTCCTGATTTGCTGAACTTTTGAGGGTAGAGCGAAATCCCCTGATTTTCCAGGTTGTAAATGGCTTTGGGAGAAGTTTGTCACCCTGTTTTCCTTCCCGATACTGGGGATAAAAGAAAAAACGGAGAACTGGGTACCTGATAATCTTTGGGGTCGTAGAAGGGGAGGTCATCCTCTGAGGTGAAGTTGAGCTGGGCCGTGTCGTACATGTTGAGTTTGAGGGTCTGCGGGCGGAAGGAGACGCTCCAGGATTTGACGCTGTGGGCGACGTGGACGGCGACGACCGACGAGACGAACCAGAGCGGGCATAGCAGCAGCAGCCACACCAGGATCAAGTGCAGCGGCGCCAGCGGACACATCTCTCCCTGCAACACATCACAAATACATTTCAAATGCAGGTTACGATGATATCCTAGCCAGATAAGAGGCCGTCTATAATGGACTGGAAGTTCAAAACCCGCTCAACGCCATCAGCGGTCCCTAGCTTCATCATCCCCCCACTAAGGAACGTTACTGGGTGGTTTCACAATAACTGTAGTACTTTTGTCGCCCTAACAGACAACACATTTTTCCGTCATATTTTTAGTAGTAATGATAATCACTCGAATTTGTTTGCATTCATCTACACGGGGTTACGTGTTATAACGCTTTTCAAAGATTTATCGCTCTACTTTTTAATTTTAATATATAAATGGCCGAAAATGTGCTGTCTGTTACGCTGACTTTTTACCGCGTAACAGACAGCACATTTTCGGCCATTTACAAAATAATTAATTGAGAAGTAGAGCAATAAATCATTAGAAAGCGTTATAATACGTAACTCTTGGAAGATTAATGCGAAAAAATTCGAGTGATTATCATTTCTACTTAAAATGACCGAAAAATGTGTTGTCTGTTACGGCCACAAACTACTTATTCCAGTTATCGTGAAACTACCCAACTACATTTCAATGTTGCCCAATTCCCCCTCGCAAATTGAATTTTTACAAGGACAATTTTGTACATTTTTCACTGAAAATATTACTGGTTTTCCTCTTAATCCTACAATGAAAAAAATGGTTATGTGGTGAGAGTCCACACTGCTTGGAAAATCTAAGGTATGAACTGCTCGTACATACGGTCTGGCTTTCACGGCTAGAGCAGAGATGTGCAAACACGTCGTGTCGGGAAAAGCAGGTGTATGAACTATTGTTCATGCGGTATCCATGCTATATGGATGCTGGGTCCATACGATATGGACTCAGAGTCCATTCTCTTCGTATGTAATATTTGTCCTTAAAAATGGNGGGGGGGGGGGGGGTCGGCCCTGCGTAAAAATCGCATATTCTTCGCAAAATTGAGGCAAGACATAAAATAACAGGAAAGAAAGATGGTTATTATTAGGAGACATTTTGAGAGGACAGCTGCTTTAAATATTTGGGAGGCTGTGACCTCTTTGTGCCCGTATTCGATAAATGAGGGACTTCGAGGACAAGGCGCATAAGTGTAGTTTTCGAGAAAAATTAAGATTTTCATGATTTCAAGTGCAACAAGTCTTAATGCATATTCTGTGAAAAATTCGCTCCCTAATTTCGATTTTTAAGCATGAAAAAGTCAATTTGAACTTTCTGTTCGCCATGAGGATTCACGTAATTCCGAAATTTCCAACACGTATTTCTCGAAATAGCAAAAACTGCACTTATGCGCCTTGTCCTCCAAGCCCCTTACTTAAATATACGACGATGAAAAAATAATAAGCAAGAATAAATTCCAAAAAAGTTGAACCACAACGAGGTTGTAGCGGTTTGCCATTTGCAGTTGAAAAACCTGTTGACTTTGGGGTCATTTCCCTCTTTTCCTACTTTTCTCGGACCCGGTTTCCGAGATTTTCCCTGAGCTGCGGCCAGGGTGAGGTGAGACTCATTGTACTCTGCGGGCCCGAGTAATATCGGAGGGACGCCCAAAGTAGCTCGAAGACGAAAACCATTCAACTCTTCGTCGACAAGAGTTGCGATTAAATTAGACACAAATCTTCGTCTTACGACTAAGACGAGTTCACTCACTTTGGGTGTGGGTCAAGGCTACGAGAAACGTCTAGAATCGCTCGAGAGCTGTTGCATATTCAAAAGATCACAAGAAAAAAAGGAGCGCGTTCAACGGATGATTACAAATTTCCGGCTGCCCACTTGAAATTGCTCATGCAAGTTACAGAACGGACTATATTATGATGCACTGTCATTTCCACTTGAAATTGTCAATGAACGAACAGTTTGTCGATCGATTCGTTTCCTCGTTTGTCACCCGAAACCGTTCGGAATTGAATAATCGTGACCGAAATCCTACCTGGCTTAGCAGCTGTAACAACAGACAGTAATTAAAAGTTAATCTGAGACGAGGGTTTTAACTGTTTGCTTTTCGATTACCATGTCCAAAAATGAATGGATACCTCTTCTACCACATTACATGGCAGTCCATAACAGGGATCATTACCGCAACCAATTTATAAATCCTACGTCAGGGGGCGTCCTACGTAGGGTCTTTGACGGATTTTAGCTCAGCCCGGCGCCAAATTTTGTCGGAAAAACCTGGTCTAATACACTTAAAAGGATTCACACACAAAGCTTATCGACGGTGAAGATGAAACTGGAAAAATGCATATCTCGGTTGCGGTGTTTAAAAATCTCCACTCCTACTTGATTTTTTAGAAGGAGACCGAACATGAATGATGCCTTGTCTTGAAATTTAAGCAGAATATTCTTGACAGAGAAGAAAAATCACCCGAGTTTTCTTGGAGTTTTCAAGAAACGGCTCCCAGTAGTTTTCTATTAGGAAAATAAAATATGAGTAAAGTAAATATGAAAGTTTGAAACACCGCAAAGCCAGATACTCATTCCTCCGCTTTTACCATCCATATATTCCTTCTCAATCGGGTACATAGAATCCCAGGCTGGCAAAAGGCCAACTTGCAAATTTTTTTGATCCATTATTTTTAAGGGGACACACATGCCATCCAAGACGTCATTTCTGACCAAATGTTTGCATCGAGTCGAATTTAATTGTTTCCGATGACTAAATAAAATAATCAAATGAATAAAATGAAATTTTGATCGAAGAGGTTGCCACCTTAAAGTTCTATTCCATCCGTTCCGGTAACGTTTCCGCGCTGAAACACGGCAAGCTCATGGAATTTTTAAGATTCGCTGACGAAGATATGAAGGCGTCTTTCCTTTCCGTCTTGGTTCATCAGTGATGAAACGAAGACGCCACGCAACGCACTATCCAAGAAAACGCTTTAATATAACTATTCCTGCTCTATGGATGAGCGTATTGCCTATCAAAAAAGCTAGGTACCAGACGCATCCCCATGCATCATTATTTCAAGAAGAATCAAGCCAGAGCTTACAACCTATAATCCTGCTTTTAAAAACTAAAAGTTGGAAAATGATGCATCATTTTCGAGTTTTCGGGTTCATGAGCCGGAGAAATATGTCATCGAAAAAAGAAACATTCAATCTATAGAAAGAACAAGGTGAAATTATGAAGGAGAGACAAGATGTTCGGTAAGAAAAGTAAAAATAAAGAGATAGGAATACATGTACATTAAATCCACCAGAGATCTAAAGCAGGCTGCAGGAGGTCCCATTCAACAATTATTTTGTTGGCAATGACGATGTTTTGGGACTTTACCGAACAATTGGAGCCTAATTTTGCAAAATTAAACATGACTAAATTTTATTGAAATTCACTGACTGATTGTGATTGGCTTCTTATGGCTCCCCTCTCGAATTCGGAGTTTTTCGCGAACAATATGCACTCATATTTTAATGATATTTTCATTAATCTTTAGATGCTGAAGCCCGGTCAACTTGACAGGAGTCTTGTTTAAAAAACGTGCCACGCGAGTTGTAAGGTGCCACGGTACATATACGAGCCGTAGATGTAGGTCATTTCAATATTTGTACAATAAAAAAAAATGATCAAACTTCAAATTGAAAAAGAAGAAAAAACTGAGGGACAACTGAGTCGAGACGTAATCGGGCCTAGTTTTTAAAATTTTTCCCTCGAATCTGAGCGTCACCTCACTGGCACATAAAACGGAGCATTTCGAGTTCACGTCTAGCGCCATCGCGCCTTCAATTTTGCAGATGCAACACGGACATCCATTATGTACGAATAGTTGTATCTCTGCGCCGTCATCAACGCGCCTGCTTTTACTTCACTCTATTTCTATACTGTGTTTATTTCAGTTTTTCCTCTTTGTATTTGTAGCGGTGCCTTAAAGGCCGTAAATAGGAAAACCCTAATAATCAAGCCTCGTTTGTTAACTTTTCTTACGACACCTCATTGGCAGCATAAAGCGAAGCTGCGGAACATTGCGAATTCACAGCTCGCGCCATCGCGCCTTCAATTTTGCAGATGCAACACAGACATCCATCAAACACGAATAGTTGTATCTCTGCGCCGTCTTCCCGCCGTCGCGCGTCGCGTCGTTCTGCTCCATTTCTATATGGTGTTAGTTTCGTTTAATTGTCTCATTTTTAGTAGTGCTTCAAGGGCTACGTGAGCAACACAGCCGAAAATAGGATGTGCCCTAATCAATTATCATTTTGAAAGGAAAAAAATGTTAGAGATCTCTCAAACGATTAAAAGGGCGCACCTGTAAAACTTGACTGTACTACCTCTTCTGAGAGAGTGGCACGTGGCGGATGAGGAAGGAGGGTGATAAAGCGTCTTCATGTTACTAAAAGGTGAAACTTCCGAAGAAAATAAGTTTTTACCGATCTTAAAAACTTTATGTGCAGGCATTTGGACACTTGACAAAAGTTCGAGAGCTATTTTGATTTCCTCACTCAATGACGCTCATCATCCCTTTTTCGAAAACTATAATCGAGAAAAATTTTCAATGCCTCAAAGCTGATTTTCTGACGGAGAGTGACCAATTTTTCGCGTGGTAGCGAAAGTTAAAGGCGTAAAGCGTGAGTTTGCACTTTATTTAATCGAATGTTTGCTCATGAGTGAAATAATTATCATTCGGTACAGCTTGATTAAACCAGCATGCACGTCCCAATTTTTCACATTTTCTTCTTCAAAATATTGAGCTACGGATACAAAATCTGAATCCAGCAAATAAAAAAAAACCAAAACATCAATTTTCCAGCATTTTTGTAGGCCCAGGCGACTCTGGGGACTTATTTCCGGTTTACAGTTCAAGGACCTCCATTCACCACATGCGATCCACCATCATACGTAAAAGGACCTTTCTTTACTCTTACTTAATTTCTCCTCTACCGTTCATTTATGGATTTTCCGCATTTTATCTCTGTCATAATTTTTTCTCTCATCTTATTTTGCCAGCAGAGTGGCACATCTTCGATGCGTCAGGGGG